GACCTCCCAAGTAAAATCGGCAAATATATTGCCTAGGATGCAGCGACGGCGTTCTGCGGCCGTCAATGTATCGAGCCCTTTCGGACTCCTGTAGCTCCTGATCGGTCTCGGGCCTTTGTGGTTGGCCGAGCAGGCTCTCGAAAAAGTCGAGCACGGAGGCGAAACAATGATAGCGTCGAACTTTCCCTGCTTTATCTGCTCCAAGAGCCTGTCTCGCTCCCTGCTTTGGGAAAGGTCTATCCAGGGCTTTCGCTTGATATCGATGCAGAGCATCTCCAGGTTGAGGCCTTCTGTAGCGCAGAGCTGCTTCAAGCAGCTTTGCATATCCCACCGTCTCGGAGTGCCAGAGAAAAGATACAAGACTCTCAGGGGCTTTTTAGCTGCCGGCGGTGTAGGCGATAGCGGAGCTTCAAGCTGCGTATCGGGCGTCCCAGGTCAGGGATTTGCACCTTGCGTATCGGCGGCCTTGCTGCCCCCAGCGGTGCACTGATGCCGAGGGTGCGCCCCAAAGCATAGCGAGCACACGTGGGAGAAGTGGCACTTGGCGCCCTTCTTGCAACCAGCTTTGGCGTTGTAGCGGAAGCAGTCTTGCTGGCCCCCTAGCCCCAGCTCCTGCTGGCACCCCCTGCAAGAATGCTGGGGGTGATTATCGAGTGCGTACCACATCCTGCGGTTGCACATATCGGCCCCGGCAGTGCGGGCATCTAATAATACATCGGAAAATTTCATTCTTTGTATCGTAGCGGCCCCTGCCTGTGATGCCTTCCTCGAAAATTATCGCCCCGAAGTTCGGGATGAACCTCTTAGGGTCAAATCTCGGATCCTTTGGATCCTCATCATCAAGAATATCGCCAGGACCATAGCTGTCCTGGATAGCGTGGGCAGTGTGGGTCGCCTTGCCCACTGCCTTGCCAGCCCTTATCGTGGCCGGGACCACTTAGCGCTTCTCAGCCACGTGCTTGGGCACTTTCTTAGCGAGCCACCTTTCTGAAGATTGCCTCCTCTCTGTAGCGCACCCAGGGGTGGCGGATAGTCCCCTCTCGGATCTATCCTAGCTTGCCTTCCTCCCAGAGTTGGTGACGAGGAACGACGCGTCTTCGATAGCGTCCGGCTGCCAAGGCCGAGTGGCGGCCGGGGGCATCGTAGCCCCACCAGTAGCAGTAGCGGTGGAAGACCACGCTCGCTGCAATCTTAGCAAGGACCTGAACTGATTGACCAGGTCCTCCTCCACGGCCTGGGCCAGCCTCTCGGAGTCGCGCTGGTAGCGGTCGTCAAACTGCTGGTGTTGACGATGTAGCGAGTCATAGCGTCCACCTCTGCATTGGTGGCAAATACCGTCGGGTGAGGCGTTCTGCCTCTCCGACTAGCAGGCGGCGGCGGCGGCCGGCTAAGCGACCTACCAGCTAAGGCCAGTCGTAGCAGCTAGCGGAGGGTACCCCCTCTCCGAGGTGCTGGGAGGCACCCCTTGGAACTTAGCGGTCTATCTGCACCTTTGACCATATCCGACACCTTGGCGGTGTCCTCTCGGGTGGCCTTGGCCACCAACTTTATCGCGTCGATCAACGACACGTTGTCCGACATAGCGGGGGTCTTTACAGGGCGCCCCTATTCCCCAAAGTACAATCTATCGGGCCTTTCAAGGGCGCCCCCCTTCTCCCAACTCACTTAAAAAAACCTTGATCAAGCCGAAGCTATTGGTGCATGCCCTTTCTCGCTTACCTAGCTAGTAGCCATGTCCTGATAGTGTAGCGGCAAGACAGTGCAGCGCACAACCGGCAGAGTAGAAGTAGCTTGCCCTGCGAGTAAGAATTAGCGGCAACAAGGTGCACCCGACCACTAGCGCTTCCCAATCTCCCGAGAGGGCTGGGGAGGCCTCGCCAGCGGAATCTTCCCCCTCATCGCCGCCCGGCCAACATAGCCGACATACATGGGTGTATTCGGACTTATTGGCAAGGTGCGCGAACTCTTGAGAGTTTCTAAACTCCCGCCTCCTTCCCATCCAACAACCCTTCGCCCCCGACCTATGGAGCCTGAATATCGCCCCCGGAAGCTCGACGATACCTTCCAAGCTGTCACTATCTGCCTTCTGCTCCTCGGGCTCCAAGACTATCGGCGGCGCCTGCTCCACCTGGATGGACCCCGACCTCCACTTCTCCGCCAGCTTCTCGGCTATCCTCCTCTGGCACGATCCTTTAGCCAGTCCTGCAGTGAGCTCGCCACCTCACGCTCATCCAAGGTGTGGTAGCGGTTTCCCTTCGGGCCGCCACTGCGAACTTCAACTGTAACTTGGCGACCCTTCCACCATACGACCTGGCATATGTATCGGACCTTCCACCTGCCCAACAGATCCTTCTCGGGCCCATTTACCCCCAGGACGCTAAGCCCGGTGGGTAGCACCGACCTTTCGGAGTGCTCCGTCCAAAAACCCTGCACTATCGCAGGCATCCCTGCTCTCTGCAGGATAGCTGCCGACACCACCACTGCATCGGCGTACTCCGCCATCTTTTTCTCGAAGACCGCTAAGTTTAGCTTGGGCAGCAAGTAGTCTCGGCTGAAGGTCACCAACCACTGTAGTAACTCAAAGCCTATCCGGAGCCAAGACGGGTTCTCAAAGAAGGCGGCCTCGCTCACACCTAGCGGCATCTCCTTGATGCGCCTGTTCGGCCCTGATGTCCTTCGTAGCGTGGTGACCAAGCGGCCCTCCACTAGCTTGAGCTCTCCTGACCGGATGGCCTGGAGGTCTGACCACCTTAGCGAAGCCCAGACTTTGACCAACTTTGCCCAGGCATATATCCGCAAGCCCGTCGGCTCGCTATCGTCGAGGACCACCCTCTTGAAGACCACCAAGACCATAACAGGATATCGGGGCGCTCTTCTGATCAGCGGCGCCCCCTCGTAGAGGGCCTCGACGATCTTATCCTTCGCTGCCCAGGCCACCCGCCCACTTGTAGCGCGGAGCTCCGCCTTGAACTCCCCCACTCTCTCCATCCAGGAGATGGACTTTAGCAGGCTATCCGGGACCGTCCGGGCGCAGGGCTCATCCCTTAGCACCAGCAAGTAGTCCACAAGATCTGCCGGTCTACTGGGCGGGTCCACCCGCTTGGCCTCTTGTAGCCACAGCCGCCACCTCTTGTACATGGTGACATAGCGCTTCAGGGTGGAAGAGCGTGTCTTCCCTGGAAGCATCTCGTAGGCTCTATCAGGGTCCAGACACTCCCCTATCGACTTAACGACCGGGGCCCCTATAGCGTCCAGCTCGTCGGCCAGATGGCGCGTCCAGAGGACCTGCAGCTTGAGCTCTCTAGGCCCTCTCTTCACCACTGGCCAGGAGCTTCTTCACCTTTTTTGCCGGAGGGGGTCTATCGTCCAGCCAGGGTCGCAGTGGTGCCCTGGAAGAACTAGCGAGAGACATCCAGGCGAGATCTCCAGCTAGAACCCCCTCTGTCCAGAGGAGTAGGTTCCGCTCCTCTTTAGCGGCAGCGATTATCTCCACCACTGCCTGTTCAAGTTTGTCCGAGTGAGGTACGTTCAACTCGAAAGCTATCTGCCCAGCAATGGCCCAGCTATCTGCCACCTCCAAGGTGGCCATCTCTCGGGGTCCAAAACCCTGAGTCCACAGGTACCCCGCGATATCTGGCAGCTGATCGGCCATTGCACCTAGCGCAGGGTTCCCCCTGCGTTTCCTTTCTCACACCCGCACTCAAAACTTGCCCCCCTTTTCAAGTGGTCTTTATCCGAAACGGCAACGGTTACAACCATGCGTTTCAAGACAGGTTTGTGTACAACATATCGGAACTACAGTTCCTACAAAAACACCTTCGATGTTTTTGTT